CTGAACCATGCTGGACTATACTAGTCTTTTGACCTTATACTCTTAATATATATTAATACTAATAGTGTTTGTGATATATATCAGATGTCCAGCGGGATATGCTGGACCATACTGGACTTTACTAGTCTTTTGACCTTACACTCTTAATATATATTAATACTAATAATAGTGTTTGTGATATATATCAGATGTCCAGCGGGATATACTGGACCATACTGCATGACAATAACACCTAGTCCATCAACAACTAGTAAACCAACACAGCCTGTCACCCCTGATCCCTGTCTGATGATATCCTGCTATAATGGTGGATACTGTGAAGTCACACAAGGGATTGCTAGATGCAAGTAAGTTGCGACAAATGTAACATCCTGTTAAATATACAGTTATTTCAAAAAAGGTTGAATACTGAATACTGCATGGTGCATTCCAAGACTAAAGGGCATCGTTAACGGCCCTAAGATTTGATACAACATTTAACCCAACATTTGACCCGACATTTGACCCAACATTTTGAGCCAAGCATGACAAACAGTCCCAACATTTGACCCAACAAATATTGGCTGAATGTTGAGAATGTTGGCTGAGTGTTGAGAATGTTAGGTCAAAGTGTTGGGTCAAAGTGTTAGGTCAAATGTTGGGTCAAATGTCGGGTCAAATGTTGGTTCAAAGGTTGGGTCAAATGTTATTTAAAGGTTGGGTCAAATGTTGGGTCAAAGGTTGGGTCAAAGGTTGGGTCAAAGGTTGGGTCAAATGTCGGGTCAAATGTCGGGTCAAATGTCGGGTCAAATGTCGGGTCAAATGTCGGGTCAAAGGTTGGGTCAAAGGTTGGGTCAAATGTTGGGTCAAATGTTAGGTCAAATGTTGGTACCGTTTGTCAGGAAGGCCTTCATTCTTGTTATCTAGGTGTCCTTATGGAACAGCTGGCAAGAGCTGTGAAGAAACATGTTCCTCTCTACACTGTAACCATGGAGGTGAATGTGAGATCACAGAACGAGATATCTATTGCAGGTTAGTAACATATACGTATTCAGCTTCAGAGTAATGGAGAATGCCTTTAGGGCCTCGAGCTCGATTATTGATTCCCAGACTCGGCTTCACATAGGAGGGGAACAAAAACTACGTGAAAGTCGTAAAAATAAGATACCGAGCTCAGTGGCCGATTTAAAGTTAGCTTAAGTTGTACGTTTCGCATTAGAAACTAATGTTGTGCCTGGGCAAGCCGCAAGTTTGTAGCGGACAGAGAATACGAAAAGTTTTAAATTGACATCGGCGGTCTTATTTCCCAGAATATCTTCAAGGCATTACTTTGTAGGAAGAACTGCACCAGTGATCCTATCATAGATCCCCCACTAAAATTTCTAAGGTTTTGTCACCGGYTTTGTTTATGTACAGACCTCTTCGACCTGGACGTTTTTTTCTCCATTTCAGACCACAAAAATTTCTTGAGAATAAGATCTTTTGTTTAAGTTGTATACATGTTTGAACTATCTACTCATGCGCAACCATTAAATAAAGAAATGATACATGACACATGGTCTGAAATGGGAAAACGTTGCACCCAAGTCAAATTGGTCTATTATAACTACAAGAATATAACCGACTGGGTTTCGTTTTGTTGATCAGATGCGAGTCTGGTTATCGCTATACTACTGGTCCAGGATGTGAGAATGATCCCTGTATCAACTACACAAGATGTGGTCAGGATGGTAAATGTTATGTTAATGGATCAACAAACATCCCCTACTGCAGGTACGTGTAGGGTTACCTTGACTCTCGAGCATTGCTGGGCTTCACTTGATGTCATTTACTGTCTCGTAAGGAATCACAGGTTTTCAATAGAATTCGTTCTGGGTGACAGCCCCTGGTGGTCGTCAGTCATTCACCATCATTTGAGCAGAATATGAGATTCAAAGACTTTGATTATTTTATTAAAACCTAGCAATTGTGATCGGATAGAGTGCACGCACTAAAACCGTGAACATTAAATAGTACTAATTAGTACTATTTCATACAGAATCCTTTGTTTCCTATTGTTTAATTATTACTATTTAGTGCTAAAAATTAGTATTCGTTTCACGGATTTAGTGTGAGCACTCTAATACATCTATATCTAAATTTAATTTGCGCTATAATATAACGCCTTTAAGGATGTTACTAGTAATTTTCTCGTCACGTCTTTTCAAAACGGGTAATAGCTATTCACACCCAACCATAGCGAACTTCAGCGATGTTACTTTTGATGGGCTTCACAGCCGCCATGTTGGATGAATTCAACAAAATGAAAACCAGTAATGGTAATCGGGGAAACGCTCGTTCGGTCGCAATATGATATGTAAAACTCACGAATAAAAATAATATCAATGTTTTTCTATCAGCACGTAAATGTATTATCCATATGAAGTATGTCCTTTCTGCACATACTTCATTGACATAAACATTTTTAACAGATGTAAAGACGGGTCGATAGCCGTAACTTGTATCAAGAACCCTGACATTATGGGACGCCATCAAGAATCGAAAAGCGGTGTGTATATCCATCCATTCATACCAGTTTCTAATAAACAGAATCGATGTTTTGTTGACGAGGACGTGGAATTGGACCTTTCTTTCTTTCTTTCTTTCTTCCTTCCTTCCTTCCTCGTTCCCTCCCTCCCTCCCTCCCTCCTTTCCTTCCTTCCTTCCTTCGGTCTTGTGGTAGTATATATTGAAGTGTATCCTTTAGTTTACTTACAAGTGCATGTCATTATTGCAGTGGTCGCCAAGATTATAATAGCACTTGTCATGGTTCTGCTGGTCATCGTCGTTATTCTTGGTCTGCTGTACTGCAGGCACCGAGGCCCGTAAGTAATAAATACTGAACCAAGTCATAGTACCGTATAATGCAAATAACTGCTGTTGTGCAACTGAATGGACCTGCTGCCCTAGCCTTGCCTCAGTTTGTATAGTGCGACCTTGACTTTTCTTTACCTTTGTCCCATACCATTGAAAATACAGGCCTTCAGAATGCACAAAAGATGTGATATATTTGGCGACATTTCCCCGTTACTTCCCATTAGATATTGCGGGGTTTTTTTCAGACTGAGTAAATACCTAGGTATTTTCAATGGTGAGGGGTGCGATGCTTTCTAGTGAGAATCCTGTAAGGGGAAGTGGGTGCCAATCTCATTTTCCACTTGAATGATTTTAAAAATCCCACTTCCCATCATCTAAACCCCAAACGTTTTCTTTTGAAATCATTTATCCCTTTTGTTGTACCATTTTACCAAATACCATTTTTCCCAAGGCAAAAGAGGCTAATCCCAGTTCCTATTTTACCCCCTTCAGGAACCTTTCTAGTAACACACCATGGAATATCCCACGCGTCACTCAGTTGTATTTCTTCAAGGCTTGAGGGCTCATGCGTATACTATAAAAGGACTCGTGGGGTATTCCATGGTATTCAACTCAAAACCATTGTATATGCCTATTTCAAAAAACGATGTTGGTCGTAGATCTGAAATCTGAGACCGAGAGCACGTTGCAAATTGTAACATATTCACAAACGTAGATTCCTTTTAGCTTGGAATATGAAGCACGACCGTCTATTTAGAAACGTAATTTTGGTATTTTAGTCAGAAAATATAAAAGTTTAAAAATTCCGTTTAGTCTCAGATTGCCCATTCTAGATCTCCGACCGACAAGGTTTTTTGATATAGGTGTAATTTGTATATAAGGCATAATATATATATTTAGGCATTGCCTAAAAGCAGAGCTGAAACTGAAAGGTAAAAGTAAGATCGGAAAAAAATCTTCAATTATTTTTTATTCGAGATGAAGATACTTTCCCCATGATAAAAACCGTGCAATGAAATCGAATCAAAATGCGCTACATTGTTTTCTTTGCGCGAGTATACTAATCAATTTTTGACTACATGAAAGTTTAAAATTGCTTTTGGTCTATAGTCCTAAAGTGTTTTTTTCTGTGCTATTTCATTTTTATTTTATTATGCTTTCACATCAAGCGGGATCCCTGTGTTGTGTACACGGACGGACGGACGGACGGACGGACGGAAGTGACGTCAGCCAAGCCATGAAAAATCAACTCGATGGTTTACCATTTTTTCTTAAGTATGGTGCTCCGCTCGCGCGGGCCGCGCTCCGCTAAGAACTACCAAACGAGTTGGCATGCAGTCCAGAGATCACCGTGGTTTAGTATACACAGTAGTGGTAGTTATAATGGTTCCATTGTGTTTTCTTTGATCAGGATGAGGCCGACAAACTACTGCGGTATGAATATTCGTGTTCGCAACCCTTCGTTCCTGTATGAGGAAATGTTAGATGATAACATCAGTATGATAAGCCACGGCTCCACCTACCGCGAATCCGACAAGGTGAGATCCATCACAGTCAGCCATCACAGTCAACCATTGTTTACATCCCTTCTAAACCCACATTAATTTCGCTTTTGATAAGAGAGTTCTTTTCCATTCGCTCCTCGCCTCTGTTGTTTCAGGTTCACTTCTCAGAATCAGCATCACATGTCAATGGAGTTAGTTAGGCCCCCTTCTTCGATTTGATGGAGTTTCTCTGGTTTTCTTCCTCCYCAAAACATAACTCGCTAAATTCCAATTTGATTAATCTGTGAGTTAGCTATGCCTGACTTAGGTCAGACCACAGGTTGTTTCAGGGTATCCATACGATTTAAAGGTAGTGTATCGGATAATGGAAATAAACCTTTGGATGGTGATGGTAGACTTCTTTAATATCGTCCCCTGTTCAGCCCCAAATTGCACCCCAAATTGCACCCCTAATTGCGCCCCACATTTAGCCCCAAATTCAGCCCCAAATTTAGCCCCAGATTCAGCCCAATTTAGCCCAATTTAGCCCCAAAATTCAGCCACAAATTCAGCCCCAGTATTAACCCAAATTTCAGCCCCACATTCAGCCCCATATTCAGCTCCGAATTCAAGCCCAAATTCAACAAAGTGATACAGAGTATGACTGTAATGAGATTGGCAAAAGTTACCTACATGTATCCAAGGAAACCTTTTCCTGGCATTAGCGTGTTCCAATGGTACCCAATCCATAAATTTAATTTTGTCACAGAAATAAGCAAATGTATTCTGATTTTTTCTTGACAGTCGACAAACTTCTCCAACCCAGTCTACGAGGCGCTCGCACAAACCAACGCGTCTTCATCAACAGCTCTTCTTGCTGACCACGATTTCATATCCGATTTCTCTTGGCACAACGTGGATTTTATAAACCCTGTCTACGAAGTCTTGTATGGAGAAAGACGTCCAAGTAGACCTGACTCGTTGTTCCGTACTAACAGCATGGACATGAATGGGGATGTACTATCAGGCCGTGAATCGTGTGCGTGACTACAAAGAGTATAACTATTGGGAGCATAAAGCAAGTTGATTGCATATCTCCAGGCTTTGTTCAATGAAAACCTTTCCAGGTATTTGGGTATCCATTGGTACCCTGTCCAGGAATTTAAGTAATGGATTGCACACTGGTATTTATTAAACCAACAGCTTCGTGGCTGCCTATCTCAAAGCTTTGTTCAAGGAAATATTTTCCTGGCATCAGGCATGCGTTATCCTGCCCAGGAATTGCTGGAACTATTTTCTAACCGACAGCTGTGTCGCCTTAAAACAACCCAAGTTTTCAGAGTCCCTGAAGAAAGACGTGATTAAACATACCAGAACCTGGTATATTGAGTTCAATTGAGATGATAAAAAAAAAAGAATCACTGTGATTCTCCGTAAAAGTACAAGCATGTATATCTGAATACCAACCGCCTTTCTTTTAGTCCAGATTCTGCCAGATTTTGGACAAGCATTTTTTAAAGAAAAATCAGATATTTTCTTGTCGTGTACAAGGCTCAGCGTTGGCCACAAAACACCAAGAAAACGTGTTTACATTATAGAACATTATTTGTCTGAAGGAAAACAAACGATTATTTTTTATTTTCAAGACGCAGTTAGGAAAGAAATTTGGACTGATCTTAAATCGCCATGCGAAGCTTATTTAAACAAGAACTAACATATATTTAATAGACGATAAAATAAATAGTTATTTAGATAAAGACTTAGGTAGGTATATTTTGTATTAATTCTAGATATGTATGACTATCATTGCGTTTAGTGTTTCATTCGAAGTACACGTTCCATAGGAATTTGTGTTTGTCCCTTTGCCTTTCGCTTTCTACATATGTAGATTGCACACAATTCTGTGAAAAAGTACATTGATGTAGTACACTGTTGCCAGTAAAGAGTTTTTAAACTTAAAAAACTTAAAAGCTTTTAAGTCTGTGGACAACTTCCCACAAAAACCGCAAAATTATAAGTGAAACATGCATGTTTTCAAGGATTTACATGTAACTCCGGCATCTGAAACAATCATAACTTTGGACAACAAATCATGAAGAAAAAGTAAGAAAAATGTTCATAGAACTGTTTTTCCTTTCCATACGAGTGACGTGACACTTTTAAATAACGAATATTACGCGCATTACGAACATTCAAAAATCATATGCGGCAGAGGTTAAAAGTTAGTAGAGGGGAATTCAGTAGTAAGATCCTACTAAAGATCACAAAGTTGTAAAGAGGGCCCAGAATCCTAAGAAACCGAAAGGAGATTTGATCAAAGCTTAATATGCTGAATAAAAAAGTACGTGCCGTGAAAATTCAGCATATTAAGCTTTGATCAAATCTCTTTTAGGTTTCTTAGGATTCTGGGCCCTCCGGCCTCTTTACAATCTCACTGTACATGTATTTGAATCGATTCCATTCTGTTTGTCTTTACAGTTTGGTATTACTGGGATTCTGCTGGATTAGTTTATAATTAAGTTGAAAATTTTACTGATTTTCACTTCTTTCTCTTTTTGTTTCTTKCTTTCGTTTTTCATGGAAGATTGGATGTCTTACATTTCAGCCAAAAATTATTGTAGAAAATCTCAAGGAAGGAAGGGAGGGAGGGAAGGAAGGAARGAAGGGAGGGGAAGGTGGGAGGAAGGGAGGAAGGAAGGAAGGAACGAACGAACGAACGAACGAAGCTAAAACAAAAGTAAAGTTGGATAGTTCGATGATAAAGATTTCTTCGCCTATGACGCGTTATTTTCTTTCGCATTTCAGTCTATTCATCTATTCAGTCTCTGACCACGTATCAATTTTACCTCGTCCACAGTAAAAGCTCTCCACACTTTTAAGGGCTGTGTCAATCGCGGATAGTGCACTAATCTATAAATCGGTAAAACGTAAAAATATTTGACTAAGATTTCCAGAAAAAATATTAAATTAAAATCAAAATCTTAATCAACAAGGGACCATGCAAACAAGTGACATCAATGGTCATGTGACAAGGGACCATGCAA